TGTTCCAATTATACACTTATTTTCACATAGCTATGAGAAGCGTTAAACATGGACGCGCGTGCCGTTGACGTACTGTATTAAAGCTTTAATCAGGATAAAACTGTATATTAAAAGCTAACAGAAGCAGTAGCATGTACAAACAACAGCGTATCTAAAAGTATGAGACAACAACAAACAAAAACATAGCCTACCATTAAGAGCCGTGCTTGCACAGGTTCTGCACGATCCTCTTCACTAATATCCTCTGCGTCTCAATCGAGCTCAAACTGATAAGCGATATTAACGATGCAGTTGTTTACAATACAACCGGAGTACATGCCGCCGAGGTGCGGGGCGGGACATTAAGACGTGCACTAGAGGAAGTTTAGCCAATCACAACACACTGGGCTAGCTAACCAATCAGAGCCCATCAACTATTTCTGAGGGAGGGGCTTCATAAAAGAAGGAAATTATCAGCCTGTTTCTCAGAGAAGGGACAGAGCGGTGTGGAATAAAGGTAAATTATGTGAAAAATAATGTGGTTTTTAAAAAACGAAGCATTAACACATGTTAGACTGCACTCCATAAACACAATCAAGCCTAGAAAAAAACCCACTGAACCACCCCTTTAATTTTATTTTTACTTTTTTAAACGATTACTTTTTCTGTTTTATTTATTTACTTATTTATTATACCTACTGATCTGCTACTTATCTATCTATCTGTCCTAGCGACATGCTAATCATGTTAGAAACATACTAACAACATGGTAGTAACATGCTAATCATGCTAGAAACATGCTAGCAGCATGCTAGTAACTTGTTAATCATGCAAGAAAAATGCTAGTCACTTGCTAATCATGCTAGCAACATGCTAGTAGCATGCTAATAATGCTAGCAACATGCTAATAACATGCTAATAATGCTAGAAACATGCTAGTGATATGCTAGTAACTTGCTAATCATGCTAACGACATGCTAGTTACTTGTTAATCATGCTAGCAACATGCTAGTAGCATGCTAATAATGCTAACAACATGTTAGTTACTTGTTAATCATGCTAGCAACATGCTAATCATGCCAGCAGTATGCTAGTAACAGGCCAATCATGTTAAAAACATGTTAATCATGCTGGAAACATGTTATCAACATCTATCTAATCTATCTAAATTTTCAAACTTCAGACTTTTACAACTGCTTTAAACTTTCAGGCTAGGGTTTCTCAAGCCAAACTAAAGTTTGTCTTGACAAACTTTTTTCTCTAGTTATGTGTTGTTTGTTATGTAACTGTAACGTTTTTTTTATATATAAAAAATATAGAAAAGTTTCGTAAAACCACAGTAAAAAAAATAGTGTAGGGCAACATTGAGGCGAATCATATTAAAGAGTCTTAAGTCACTTTGGATTAGTGGTCCTATGAATGACTAACTAGTTCACTTGGTGTTGATGTTGCTCCTGTAGGAACAGCAGAAGAAAGCCGCAGCGTTACCGAGGGAGGCTGAAGCAGGTCCAGCTCTTTTGGAGGTCAAAGAGCACATCAGCTCCGTCCTGCAGCGCAGCGAAACTCGCAAACACGAGCTGGATGTTCTGCTCAACCTCTACGAGTTCTACGAATCGGTAACGACTGTTTTGATTGCTTTATGACTAGTTAGCTGCATCATATCAATTATTGTCATCATAATTAGTGGTTGACTAATATAGTATAGAGTAATATTGAACTGAAAGATAACACAAGCACACCAACTGATTCAATTAATTGTATATTTATTTTACATAATATTTATTAAATAATCGGAAATGAATAATTTAAAAATTAATCTGTATTAATCTTTTCTAATTAAAAACAAAGTAATAATTTGAACTTGATTAAAAAAAAACTGATTTAAACCAAATTTAGTTATTTTCATGAACTAAAACTAAAGCATAAAAACATTAATTATTTAAAATAAACATTAATTGAAATAAAATAATAATTATTTAATTTTAAATTAAAATGATAACAGAAAATATTAAAATAAAATGTAATTTGAATTCTTAAAAACCTATAGTAGTATATCAGTGATACTAAAATAACACTAATTTATACTTGGGAACTATAAACTAAAACTGGAATAAAAATAAATAAAACCTAAATGGTATAAATAGTATTAAACAAAAATAAAAGTGACAAAAGCAAAAAATGTAAAAGAAAATTAAACTAAAAAATAAAGAAAGAAAACTGAAAATGTAAAAATAAATCCTAATTAGTAATTGTACTAAAATTCTCAGCGCCATCAAAATAAAAGTCCCCCAAGTAGGGCTGGGCAATATATAGCAAAAAAATGTATCAACGATATAATGTTTCATATCGTTCAGTATCGATAATGATTGAAATTATTTATAACCTTTTTTAAAACAAAGAGCGATAGAATTGTTTTTTTTTTTTTATTTAACCACTGTATTTTTAAACTAACCCAATTTATTGAGACAAACAACAAATATTTTTTGTTTTAACAGTCAAACACAAATTAAAAATTAAACAAATATCTAATTTCTAATGTTTTATATGCAGATTAAATAGGTTTTAAGGAAGCTTTTGGCTTGTCTCCCGAGGCCACAGGAGGGCGCAATGAGCAAAATAATGCAGCGCATTAAATTGTCAATGCAAGGAAATAACTGTCTATAAAAAAAACGTGCATTATGTCTAAATTAACTCATATAAATCAAATATAATTTCGTAAATTGCATAAACAATAATGAGCAAAACAGCATCATGTATTTATGCATTGCTTAATCCAAAGAGCTGAAGTGCCATTCACTCAGACTGCATTTAAAAACATATGAGACGCAGCGAAAAGGAACAAACCTCCACAAATTCGTGACGTGTTTTCTAAAAGTTTAAACTGTTTTAATTTTGCATGACTTTCTATACATCTCTTGTGTGAGACGTGAGTGCAGCAGTCATATGTTTCCGTCTAAAAAATATGCTGAATATGCGTTCTGTGTGAATGGCTTGGTTTCGTTTTTAACCTTATCAAGATCTTCTAAGCATTGAGCTACTACAGTATATTTCTCTAATATTTTGAACGAATAACACAGCAACTGCGCGTCTCGTGGGCTAGACAAACAAAACATTAAAATGCAACAACGTCACTTACATCATTATCACCGCATCTCGCCGCACCACTGATGACGCTTCCTCATGCACACGTAACATTGCAAATGTTTATTTTAAATTTGACTAATATTCATTCTTTATACACAATCTCCTCATCACAGGCAGGCACAGAACTCAATTCAGCATGTGTTTGTGTTTGTGTGTGCTGTCTGCGTCACTCATAGCACGTGCCTATATCGAACATTTGTTATATCGTTATCGAAGAAGGTGTACCATCGATAAATATCGATACCGTTTTATCGCCCAGGCCTACGTGAACGCATGCACCTGTTAGCCGAAGCTAGAGATTAGTTTATAAAGTTTTAAATATGGATATTTTACTTACACAAACGCATCGATTTGCTTCATTTTTTATAACCTTTTTTTAAAACAAAGAGCAACAGAACATTTTTTTAAATTTAACCACTGTATTTTTAAATTAACCCAATTTATTGGGACAAACAAACAGTCAAACACGCAATAAAAATTAAACAAATATCTAATTTCTAATGTTTTATATGCAGATTAAATAGGTTTTAAGGAAGCTTTTGGCTTGTCTCCCGAGGCCACAGGAGGGCGCAATGAGCAAAATAATGCAGCGCATTAAATTGTCAATGCAAGGAAATAACTGTCTATAAAAAAAACGTGCATTATGTCTAAATTAACTCATATAAATCAAATATAATTTCGTAAATTGCATAAACAATAATGAGCAAAACAGCATCATGTATTTATGCATTGCTTAATCCAAAGAGCTGAAGTGCCATTCACTCAGACTGCATTTAAAAACATATGAGACGCAGCGAAAAGGAACAAACCTCCACAAATTCGTGACGTGTTTTCTAAAAGTTTAAACTGTTTTAATTTTGCATGACTTTCTATACATCTCTTGTGTGAGACGTGAGTGCAGCAGTCATATGTTTCCGTCTAAAAAATATGCTGAATATGCGTTCTGTGTGAATGGCTTGGTTTCGTTTTTAACCTTATCAAGATCTTCTAAGCATTGAGCTACTACAGTATATTTCTCTAATATTTTGAACGAATAACACAGCAACTGCGCGTCTCGTGGGCTAGACAAACAAAACATTAAAATGCAACAACGTCACTTACATCATCACCACATCTCGTGCGCCACTGATGACGCTCCCTGATGCACACCTAACATTCGATTGTACTATTTTTGCATTCAAATGCAAATGTTTATTTTAAATTCGACTAATATTGATGTTTTTATTCACAATCTCCTCATCACAGGCAGGCACAGCACTCAATTCAGCATGTGTTTGTGTGTGCGGTCTGCGTCACTCATAGCACGTGCCTATAACGTGCACTATATCGAACATTTTTTATATCGTTATCGAAGAAGGTGTACCGTCGATAAATATCGATACTGTTTTATCGCCCAGGCCTAGCCCCATGACACTTATCAGCCAGACAGAGGAACTTATCGGCCGATGCAATAATTAAAAAAAGCCTCTTCTGATAATGTGTTGAACTGTGTGTCCCGCAGGCGAAGCAGTGGATGGAGCACTGTCAGGAGTATTTCTGTCAGCTGAGGCTGGATGGAGACGCGCTCTGTTTGACGCCGGCTGAGCTGCAGGTCCTGCAGGACTATCACAGCGAGGCCACAAAGTTCTCTCTGGAGAACTTCAGCTCACTCAACCAGATGGTGCTGAAGCTGGACAGCGAGCGGGAGCAGCAGCGCTGGAGCAGTGTCTGGCAGCAGTGCCAACAAACCAGACAGCAGCTGGAGGAGATGCTGGACAGAGCCGGTAACTCACACAGATGGACAGAAATATCAGTTATAGAAGAACTCATTCAACAGAAATAATTATATTTATCTGTATTTTTACTGTTGTTCTGTGTAAAAAAAAAGAAAACAATAATGAACATAATAGTTGTTGTTATTGTTATTAATATTAAATATCCCTTTTTTATTTTACAGTATAGTATTAATATATATTAGTAATATATTTTGCATTATTATTATTATTATTATTATCATTAAATACTCAATTTTTATTTCATAGAATAGTATTAGTATATTCATTGTGATGATGATGATTATTATTATTAAATCTCAATATTTTTATTTTTCAGTATAGTATTAATATATATTAGTAATATATTTCTGCATTATTATTATTATTATTATCATTAAATACTCAATATTTATTTCATAGAATAGTATTATATTAATTGTGATGATGATGATGATGATGATGATGATTATTATTATTATTAAATCTCAATATTTTAATTTTACAGTATAGTATTATTGTATATTAGTCATATGTTTCTTATTTTATTATTATTATATTAAATATACAATTTTTATTTTACAGTATAATGGTGTTATATAGTAGTAATATTATTTTTATTTTACAGTATTGTACTATTATTACAGGTGAATATTAGTAATATATATTCATTAATTATTATTAAATAAATATTCTATTTTTTACAGCATTGTATTATTATATATTACTAATATATCTTCATGTATTATTATTGTTGTTATTATGTTTCTTATTAAATACACAAATTTTATTTTATAGTATAGTATTATTGTAAATATAATATATTTCTACATTGATTATTATTATTAAATAATATTTTTTTATTTTACAGTATTGTATTATTACATATGTAATATATTTCTTCATTTATTATTATTATTATTATTATTATTTATTAAATACTATTTTTTTGTTTTACAGTATATTATTATTGTTATATATTCGTAAAATATTTCTTCATTGATTATTATTATTATTGTTATTATTACTATAAAAATATTATTTATATATATTTTTTACAGTATCATATTATTACAGTATAGTTTTAATTAACTGTAAACAACAACAATAATAGTAATCATTCTAATTATAATTCCTGTCCATTCTGTCTATTGTGTGTTTTTTTTTAAATATTTTCATTACTATTTTATTAATGATTTTATTATTGTGCTATATTTCTTGCCTTTTCCTCTATGTCTGTATTTCTTCTGCAGTGAAAGCTTCAGTCAACAGTGTAAGCAAGTTACATAATCAGATTACTTTTTTAAAGTAACTAGTAAAGTAACACATTACTTTTGAAATTCGAAGGAAATATCTGAGTTACTTTTACACATAAGTAACGCCAGTTACTTTGTTTCTCATGCATTTACTGACCGCTCTCCTTTCCTCGTGTTGAGAGAAATGGGGAGTAAGTGCAGAGAACATCAGTGAACATGATCTTACTGTAGTTCTAGACTAAATATGAACGTTTACTCATCTCACCTGCACAAAAACAGATTCAGTGTTCCTCAAAATGAATAAAAACAGGCAAATGCAAACTCAGAATATTATACAAACATGCAATAATTAAATATGTTAAATAAGACAAATATTATTTATGTATTTAATCCCATTTTACTACCCAATGTCTTTGCTAATGACCTTCGATGATCCAATTCATCCATACTAAGCAAAAATGACGCATTTGTGTTTCATTTTTGTTATTGCTGAATAGTGTTGAACTTTCTTCTCCTGCGTCATATTCTTCATGCAATCTATTTGAGTGGCGCTCTCTACTGTACAGACGTGAATTTACTTTTCCTTCAGCCTGAGGCGTATTCATTTCACTTCTGTTGTGAAAGGGCTTTTACATACTTTTTTATATTAAAAACAAACAAGCAAGCCCTGCCCAGATTTAAAAAGTAACTCAAAAGTAAAGTAATGCATTACTTTCCATAAAAAGTAACTAAGTAACGTAATTAGTTACTTTTTTAGGGAGTAACGCAATATTGTAATGCATTACTTTTAAAAGTAACTTTCCCCAACACTGTATGTATATACAGTATATGTTCCCCCAACACTAACTAATATATATATATATATATATATATATGCAAACATCACAAAAAAAAATCAGAACTGTACGATATAAACTCAGAATTGCAAGAATAAAAGTCAGAATTGTGAGATAAAAAGCAAGGTTGCAATTACCTTTATAATTAGTTTTTCTTCTGTGGCAGAAACGGTCTTATACAGACATGCACTCTCTGATGAATTTAAAGTTCTGTTTCTGTAACATACAGTATGTTGTTTACATTGTACAGCTGGTTTATTTTAAGATGATTTATAATAACTCATTAAGGACGAAATGCAAACAATTTTATGCCACCGTTGCAACTATAAGATTAATTAATTATATTTGCTATTTTTATATTTTGAAATAAAGGCTTGTAGATGTGTGTGGTGTGTTTGATGCAGCACTAGTTGGCGCTGCTGAGTGATGAATACAGCACAAGATCACTCATTCGCATCATTTCGTTTTAAATATCTACTAGTTAATTAAAACAATCTGAAATTTGAGTAATTTTTCTGAATTCTGTCTTACAAAGTAGGTGGGGGGAGTGAATGTACAGCACTCTCTCCCACCTTCAATACCACGACTGAGGTGCCCTTGAAGCCCCAACTGCTCCCCGGGCTGCCCACTGCTCCGGGTGTGTGTTCATGGTGTGTGTGTGTGTGTTCACTGCTGTGTGTGTGCACTTTGGATGGGATAAATGCAGAGCACTAATTCTGAGTATGGGTCACCATACTTGGCCACATGTCACGTCACTTTATATCTATATATATTATTTTTTTTATGGTGTACTTTCACTTTTTTCCACTTTTAAATATATTTAAAAATATATTTGAAAATATATATTTTTTGTCATATGGGTGGAATCAAATATTCCAACATAGAACCTTTTTTTTTGAAAGTGACGTTCTGTTAGATGATATATAGAAATTACCATATATTCCATGAGAAGATTAAGAATATCTACTTTGTCCAGCTTTACATAATTACATTTTTTCAACAAAATTATCTTCTTTACACACCACGCTGTTCTAAACCTGTATAGCTTTATTTTTCTCTAGAACACAAAAGAAGATATTTTGAAAAATTCTCATGTTTTTTTTTTCTTTTGTGTACATACAATGGAAGTCAATGAGGTTCGATGTTGTTTTTATAACTTGCGATTTAAAGCAGCCCAAACACTTCCAAGATATCAGATCAACGGGGCGTTTAACATATACTGATTTTATTCGAACAAACAAGTTTCAATGGAGACTTCACGGCAATAGTCTCCATTGAAGGATAAAGGAGAGCCTTCTGGGAGAGTTAAACTCAGTTGGACAGTTTTACACACAGCATCACGGGTTCACTACAGCTGCTGCAGTCCTCTAGGCCTGCGGTTTAGTCAGTGTGGCCGCTGGAAAGTTTGGTTAACCAGGGGCGGTGTCTGCGTCCCACAGAGCTCCAGAGAGCAGAGCCGTGGGCGATTAATAGCCCTCTTTGTATTTGTTAATGTAGCTTGTTAGGATTCAACCTTATATTGATGTTTTATATACAGTGGTAAACGTGAAAGCTGTTTTTATTCAGTAATAACTGTGTTTGCGGCGGGGAAAGTAAAGACAACATTTATGCACAGAGGTCAATTTTTCACACTTTTGACAAATATGGATTTTCTCCGTTTAAGTGAACAGGGTTGGTTTACTACATTGCGGCTATTGTCCAAAGCAAACCTAGATAGAATAGAATTTGGTGTAAGATTTATTTTGAAACAATTTTCACTCATAAATTGCTAGTCAATTTCACAAATAATTATAAAAAAGCCAAGTGACATGAAATTTTAAAAGACTAAACAAGTGTTTTCTTAATAAATGGACTCCAATAATCTGTTAGAATTATTTTTGAAGTTGTATTACAACTATTATAATACCTACGTATGTCCAACTTACGAATTACAAGTAACAGATTACTTTTTTAAAGTAACTAGTAAAGTAACACATTACTTTTGAAATTCGAAGGAAATATCTGAGTTACTTTTACACATAAGTAACGCCAGTTACTTTGTTTCTCATGCATTTACTGACCGCTCTCCTTTCCTCGTGTTGAGAGAAATGGGGAGTAAGTGCAGAGAACATCAGTGAACATGATCTTACTGTAGTTCTAGACTAAATATGAACATGTTTACTCATC